AAAAAACTCTTATTAGTTATGCCTATAATACAAGGATATTGGTTTTACAGCTAAAATTTTAAACATATTGCATGCACCTATCATGGTGCTTTAAGGTATGTCATAGAGCTCCCTTATGCCAGACTACTAAAATATCTGGACAATTTAAGTGCATTGTTTTAATAAAGTTTTACAATTGATAATGAAACAATTGAATTAAAAGGAAATAACGTAGACAAACAATATTAAGATTTCTTCCACTATTTTGTACAATCAGCTGCATAAATCTAGTTAAAATGCTAGAAACTTCTGTTTCAAAACCTATACAAGTTTATTAAGTATACATATTTGTGCGGCTGACTGTACTCATTGCTGAAGAATTTAACAAAGAATGTGATATTCATGTAAATGACACCAACAGATTATGTCAAACCATAGACAATAACAAATAAACCCATTGTTACATAAAAAATGTCATCACCGCATAGAGATGATTTATTAAGTTATTTTCAAATTATCCCGTGATTTTTTAAAATTACCAAAGAAATTAAAGAATAACCAAAATATGTTACAATCACCAATATTAGTAGACATTGAAACTAATTTAGAATACTCACTTAGCAGACTCCCTGACAGCATTGAAAAGAAAACAGTATTTATTAGAAAAAACCAGAATAATAAAGAGAAAAGTATATAAATCCTATATGTCTCCTATAAAATCCTATAAAATATGTGTTTACATATAAATTTCTTTGTTACAGGTCTTTTTATGTCCCTTATACTAAAAGCTCCATGTATTTATACAATTGAAATTTGAAGATACTTGACATACTCAATTTAAATAAAAATAAACATAAACATAAACATAAAAGGGATTAAGAGCCCGATTCAAAAAGCGGTTATTTTAGAAACCGCATGCACAGTGAGGAGGTTCCTGTCTCTGCAGCCCTGACCACTGGTTGCTTGAGTCACCGTATTCCGCAGCCAGTGGTGCTCTATTTCTTATATGATTTATTTTATTTATTTTTATATCAAATCTTGTAAAATGTATTATATAGAGAATAAG